TTGTCAACTGCCATATTTACTGTGGGCCTCCACATGAGCTGATAAGTGGAGACTAAATGTAGTGTTAAACCCCGCTTCTAGCTTAACCTGAGGGACTGATGTAATTTGATTAAGAATCAATATTCCAGATAATTACCCTGATGTAATGAACTGCATCTCCATGGTCGGACCATGCTTGTACTATTCGGGACTAATGCAGGTTTTATACTGTATTTGTATAATAACGACTGCAATTTTGTATTTCTCCGCATATTTACTATAATTAACAAAATGAAATAGATTTAAGGCGAATAACTCTCTTTGTTTTGTGTCGTCTGCTGTAAATGCCTGACTCGGTTATTCTTACCGATTTGGACCAAACCACGCATGGATAAGACATACCTTCCACTGGTGGAAAATGTACCTGTAGTTCGATATTCCTGATTACAGCAGGTTACTGAAAGAGAATGGGAGTCAAGCCTTGTGCAGATACTTTGTGGGATGGCATGTCTGACATCAATTGTTACAAGGTCGACTGTTACTTTTGAAACGGACAAAGTAACGGCACATTCCTGTGAAGAAAAACAAATTGTTTGACCCATCAATGGAAAGTTTATTCATAATGATATTTCTCAATACAGTTCTTAAATCACGTTTGGATGACAAGTAATTGACCAAGCACCTGTAAGCATGCACCTGTCTGGAAAACGTCTCACTCACACCAACCTCACCTATACTCATAAGCTGGAAATTAATCATTCAAATTATATTTGTCATGCTATGAAAATATGTAGAGTCACATTCACTAAAATGTATGATATCTTTAACACTCTTGTATTACCTTGTTTACAGGTCATAATTTCAAAACCATAGGATCGGTGGTCATAATTAAAACAATTACAAGTTTAGTTTATGGTAGAGAACATAACACAATGGATGAAAAAATGGCTTTGTGTTTCTTTGCATGAAAACTGAGGGAGGGTTTTTGAATCACACAAACAGACTTGGCAGGAAGATAAAAAAGAATTCTCAAAATTTAACTTTATTCCATATTTGGGGAATTTAGGTTGGTTTCCCCCCAGCCCAATAAAAAAAATTATAAATAATCTAATAACTTTTGTGATGTGGAAAATTTGAAAATCTATGAAAAATTAACAAGTTTTCAATAAATAGTTGTCTTGAAGCTGCAGACATCGTGGCACAAGCTGTGAAGAAAGTAATTTTATTTGATCATTTTTGTCGCATGGTAGATGAACATAAACATAAACATATATAATTGCATTCTATAGAAATGGAACCATACAATCATATCACAGGAAACTTAATAACTACATGTATACATGATGACTATGAGTAAAGCACATTTAATCAAAACAGATCACAATGTTGTAGAGAATCACAAAGGTACCTGTTTGTCAGGGCAAAACTTGTGTTACCATGACGCCAGCCTACAGGAAAAGAACATGGTATAAATAGATTCAAGTATGTATGTTCTGTACTATTTGAGGTTATCCTTCAAAGGCACCACGTGACTACTTTCTGATATTACCTGATCAATCCATGACGTCACATGACCAATCCATGACATCACATGACCAATCCATGACATCACATGACCAATCCATGACGTCTCATGACCAATCCATGACATGTATCTAATTCATGTCATGTCATCAACTAATCCATGACTAATGTATTACATCACATGACCAATGTATTACATCACATGACCAACTACTTCCTGACGTCACATGACCATATGTAACGTCCAGCAATGCCAATTGGAATGTATGTCTAATGATTGTGAAATGAATACAGTAAAACCTTGTTTATCTGTACAGTTTCCCTGGAATTAATCCATTTTAACAAGTGTCTTGATAAAGTATAAGGAACAAACCATTTGATATGGGGGGAGGGGGGGCTGCTGAGATTTGATCGCAAAAAACAAATTATCCCTGAAACGTCCTGAAAAATGATAATTATGCTTCAAACTGTTAGGGAAAAAAAATAAATTGCCTGCCACAAAAATAACATTGTATTTTTCTTTAAAAAATGATTCAGGCTCATAGTCTTAATAAAAAAAATATCAGGTTAAGTTACTGCAGCTAAAAACAAATCTAATCTCGAAACAAAATCCCAGCCCAGCTGTCAACAGAATATCAAATGGTCAGCCCCTAAACACTGTATACAAACATCTACCCCCAACAGAATCTCCTGGACAGACAGCTCTGCTCCAGACTGAAGGGGAGCATACTGAGGTTTCCCAACGTACATATCTTCTTCATCCTTTAATTGGGACATTGTCTATTATTGGGTAATAATCAGATGTTACACCAGCAGCAGAGGTTAACAGACAGGTTGTAATCTATACTACTCAAAAAAGGTTTAGGACCACCTGATTCTTGTATATCACTATAGTTAATCTGTGAGAATCGAGTGGTTCTCAACTTATTTTGAGTAGTATATTACTCATCGACTTCTACCAAGGCACTTGTGGCAACTCACAAACACACAACAATCTACATCCTCGTCACTTCCTGTGGGGATTCCAGGTAAGAATAAACATACATCCTTATCCGGGGCAGTGCTACAACCAATCATTTACATTAAGCCCTGAGCAGTCAAAACCTATACTAGTATATACAACATCTAGTAGAAAAATGTAAAATTGGTAAAAATCAACATGGACACTGTTTACGAAGCAGATGAAATACATGTGTCTGATATATATTACATTGAATATGGTCTACGGTAACCATAGAAACACAAGTGATCATGTTATACATGTACAATCTCATCAAAATCAGATCTTTGTTCTCGCTACCACGAAACAAAGATATGAGGACATCTTATTAGTGGTCACATCATAACAACCTTTCGCAAACTTTGACAGACCAATGAAATGACTAACAAGAGTGAGTGAGTGAGTTAGGTTTAATACCGCTATCATCAGTACCATATATATCACGGCGTATAAGCTTAATGTGCGAGGATAGCCCGAAGTGATGCAGGTCTCAGATGTTTACCCCTTTGGTGATACCCACAAGCACGGGTATGGTGCTGACAAATCTAGAAACATAATCAGGGCGAACCGGGATTCGAACCCACAATCATAGGTTTCTGGCAACTCTGCAAAGTGAATTGCAGCGCCTTAGATGACTGGGCCAACCGTGCGCCCCTAACAAGAGGTCGACATTAGCTATTAGAAAGTACCATAGTTCTCTCGAGCTATATGGCACAAGTTTCCAGCTGGTGACTTACATTCCAGGTTTCGCTTTGAAAAATGTTTTGACAAAGTTCTTGATTCAAGATTTGAAAACTGAACAAAAGAACATTCTCTAATATACAGACTAGATTATATGGCAGTTCTTCCCACAGGCTATGCAAAGTTTCATCTGTTTTTATCCCATAGAAGTGACAGACGGATGATGATTTAATCGTACAGCCCCGAACTGTAGTTCAAAATACCCTGTGTTAACCTTTTCAGGTTGCATGGTTTGAACACACATTCATTCCGACTGTCATTTTTCTGATCTGAGATGTTCTGATTGGTCAGATGAAAGGTCGTTCTGACTCAATCTCATTAAAATCAGACATCCAATTAGGGGGTCACGTCAAAACGACCTTTCATCCGTCCAATCAGAGAATCGCTTATCAGATTATGAAAGTTACAGTCGGAATGTGATTTCTAATCATGTAGCCTCGAAAACTTTAACATGGGGTATTCCGAACGATAGTTACGGGTTTACCGACTGAATCCTTACAATCTTGACTATCTATTAGCCATTCCAGAATGGTTTTTTTTAAATTAGTGCCGTAAAGCACTAGAAAGCTGCCTTCTGATTGGTTATTCCATTGGTCGGTCAAGGATCGAGCAAGGTCAGTCTGACGTGACCCGTAATGGGATGTGAGTGAGAGTGAATATTGCTTAACGCCGCATCAGCAATTTTGCAGCTATTCGCGGCGCCGTAATGGGATGTCCTCAGATCTTTGTTTAGCAGTAGCAAGAACTAAGATCAGATTTTAATGAGACTGAGCTATGTGTGATGAAATAGTAAATGAAAAATGTTCATAGATATAACAGTTTTACAATGTTTACAACAGTTGCTGGACAAGCATCAAATATGAGAGTATCAATATCTGATGTCATAAACATGGTACCATTGAAGAAATATAAGAGCAGCCAAAAGAAGCGATACATATATATACACACTACCAAAACAAACGTGAATACCATACATGTTGCTTAATATTTGAAGACTTACTCATATTCAAGCAATATAAGATCGGATCGATGCACAAACGAACATACTGGTATGTTGTGTGAACTGACGCTCATGAACACATCACATGTGACTTCATAGATTCATGACTCAAGATACACTATTTGTCTCGTGCAGGATTAGTGTGAAGTTTGGAAATCACATGCATATTGTGATAAGAAAAAAGACACTCTGTGGTAACACTTGTCTGATTGTAGTGAGTGAGTGAGTGAGTTGGGTTTAACGCCGCTTTTAACAGTATTCCAGTTATATCGCGGCGTGTTAGCTTAATGTGGGAGGAAAGCCCGAAGTAATGCAGGTCTTAGACGTTTACCAGTTCAGTGAAACCCATGAACACGGGTATGGTGCTGACAAACCTAGAAACATAATCTGGGCGAACCGGGATTCGAACCCACAATCAAAGGTTTCTGGCGTGCCCAAGGGACGCAACTCTGCACAGCAAATCGCGGCGCTTTAGACGACTGGGCCACCCGTGCCCCCTGACTGATTGTAAGTTTTGTCATTAATTGGTACATTTTGGAAGCATCCTTTCTTTACGTACATACTTCTCTCTGTTTCTATGGTCCTCGTTTATTTAGGTTTGTTGGTTTGTTGTTTAACGCCACACTCAGCAATATTCCAACTATTCCGGCGGTCTGTAAAATAATTGAGTCTGGACCTGACAATCCAGTGATTGATATCATGAGTATCGATCCACGCAATTGGGATCGATGACATGCATCAACCAAGTCAGCGAGCCTGACCACCCAATCCTGTTAGCCGCCTCTTATGACAAGTATAGTCGCCTTTTACGGCGAGCATGGGTTGCTGAAGACCCATTCTACCCCTGATCTTCACGGGTTGTTTATTTTGGTGGTGAGTATAGAATGTAGGGTCTGGAATGCCTATATCCATGGCAATGTATAGAAAGTATTAACCCTTTCAGTGGCTTGAATGACAAGGCTGGTCATGCATCAGGCATCATAGTCAAAATTCATATATACAGGAAGCTTGTGATACCCAAATACTTACCTTGATAGGTGACTTTTACATAGATATTCAAAAAAGAAGAAACATAAGAAAGAACAAATAATGTTTTGATGATTTCTTAGTGTTGGTTTCACGACACAGCTAGCAGCTGGGGATACAGCCGTGAGATCAGTCTCCTACTCTGTTCCATGCGGCCAGCCTAGTACCTTTGCCACAGACAAGCTCGTCAACTCATCACACCTTACAGAGTCTATTCGGGGCGGCTGGATAGCCTAGTGGTTAAAACGTTCACTCGTCACGCCGAAGACCCGGGTTCAATTCTCGACATGGGTACAATGTGTGAAGCCCATTACTGGTGTCCCCCGCGTGATATTGCTGGAATATTGCTAAAAAAGGCATAAAACCAATCTCACTCACTCACTACAGTCTATTCAACAGATTGCAAATGTTTTTCAGCTATTTCCTTTTTTGCAAGTCTACCCATGTTGATAAACATGTCATGAATGGTAAACTTTGATTGCGAAAATCCTAAATGTTAAAAACTATTTCTTGTGTAATTATCTTTTTTTAAATTAGTTGTATCACTCCACATGCTGTCATCGAAGCCCTAAGAAGAGCTAGTGATACTTGGATGTATAAAGATATATTGTCATGCACCTCACTATCGCAGTTGTAGCAGTATATCTATATAATTATGCAAAACAATATGGAAAGCGCACCGAAAGTCTGTTTGATGTCAGAAAATGCGTGTTTGTTCACAAACACAAAAAAAAGTCTGGTCACGTGAATTGCAAATAAGCCTGTGGCAGTGGTCATCAACGCACCAGAACATGCAGTGGTCATCAACGCACCAGAACATGCAGTGGTCATCAACGCACCAGAACATGCAGTGGTCATCAACGCACCAGAACATGCAGTGGTCATCAACGCACCAGAACATGCAGTGAGAGTAACGGGAGGGTATTTGTTTCAAATTTGTGAGTGAGTGAGGAATAGAGTTTGGTCTGACACCGCTTTGAACATCACTTCAATTGTGAAACACCCCTTAAAGACATTAAGAGGAAGTATGAGCGCAAGAGTGAGTATGGTTTTACACCCCTTTTAGCAATATTCTAGCAATATCCCAGCAGGAACACCAGAAATAGAGTTCACACATTGAACCCATGGGAAATCTAGCCCGGGTCTTCAGTGTGACGAGTGAACTTAACCACTAGGCTACCTCACTGCTCGTCAGAGGAAGAATGTCTTAGTATCTCAGTTAATCTATCAGTGAAACGTCCCATATAGAGGATGAAAACACCTAGATTCTCATTTTCTCATACACAAAAAGAGACAAGTAAATTCACTGCCTTTATAAGAACTTCCTGACATATTATGACATTAACAACAGTAATAAGAGTGAGTGAGTTTGGTTTTAAGCCGCTTTTAGCAATATTCCAGCAATATCACGGCGGGGGACACCAGAAATGTGCTTCACACATTGTACCCATGTCAGGATTCGAACCCAGATCTTCGGCATGACGAGCGAACGCTTTAACCACTAGGCTACCCGACCGCCCGAAACAGTAATAAGAAAAAAATATATTGATGCTCAATTCCAATCATATGTCCTGGTACTCCATTTACTGAACCAAAGTTGCACCTAGTATCCCCAAAGATATTTTTCAATTTTTTATGGTCCCCAACCTGTGCCAGCTTTAATCATGTTTTTAATCCATACAACATAATTAGATAGGGGAAGCCTGATTTATTGTGTTTATCCATACAACACAATTACATTGGAGTTGCCAGATATACTTCATTTATCCATACAACACAATTAGACAGGCGAAGCTGAATTAATTTTGTTTATCCATTTCACACAATTACACTTGGGTTGTCTGATGTACCTCATTTATCCATACAACACAATTAGAGAGGGGAAGCCTGATTCATCTTGTTTATCCATACAACACAATTACACAGGGGTTGTCAGATGCACCTCATTTATCCATACAACACAATTAGAGAGGGGAAGCCTGATTCATCTTGTTTATCCATACAACACAATTACACAGGGGTTGTCAGATGTACCTCATTTATCCATACATTGCAGTCAGAGAGGGACAGCCTGATTCATCCTGTTTATCCATACAACACAATTACACAGGGGTTGTCAGATGTACCTCATTTATCCATACATTGCAGTCAGAGAGGGGCAGCCTGATTCATCCTGTTTATCCATACAACACATTGGATGGAGACAAACTAATCCATAAGGCTTAACTCCAGTGTAAACAGGAGCATACACATATGAGTAAGTCATTGTCAGTTGGCGCTCTTCCTTAATGAGGAATGTTTTATTATTAAATAGAAATGTCATCATATATTTTTCTACTCTCAAATCAAGGCTCTGCAAGGCAGGGTCTTTTAAAAAGGCAAAACAAATTACAAAATATACCACGGCTCCAAAACATGCAGCCACAATAGGGAGATAACTCCTGTCTTGGTAAATGCAGAAACAAAAGGGAGATAACTCTCATCTTAGTTAATGTGGCCGCAAACCTCTGATCTTGGTAAATCAATGTGCCTGTAGAGGCCTGGATTGCCTTTATAATATTACTGCTACTAGTTTGTCAGCAGCTATCAGCTTGAATACAATCTGATCCTTGTATAAAATCTATTGCCAAGAACGAGAAAAGACAGCTATAACTACATCCCCCTCAACATATCGGTGGTTCATCTTGATCCAAAGACCGTATAAATGCCTCCAGCTTCTCAACCTTATGTTTGTCCTTCAGACCAAGTTTCTTAATGTCCTTCAATTTGATTGGTCGTCGGATGCTATGTCTCCGCCTCACTTTGATGCAGTGCTTGACCTGCTCCAGAATCAGATCCTTGTACATCAGGGTGTTGAATTCTGTAAGCTTCGTAAGACGGTCAAATGATTTGTTTGTATACTTGAAATTGAAGGTCGAGTAAGGTCTTTCAGGGTCATCAAACAGGTCAAAGTCAGCAAAGTCTTTCTCCTCCTCTGTTTCTCGAGGAATTCCTGGAGGAGAAAATCAAATTTGAAGAACATACGAATTACCTGCTCTGAGGCCGATATTCAGCTTCAAGTCTCCAATTCATGTTAATCATGTCAATATATAGTCAATATTAACATATATTGTTGCTTTGTAGACGTTTCTTATATTTCACTGATAACAGGACCAATAAAAAGTAGGTGAGTGAGTGAGTTGGGTTTAACGCCGATTTGAACAGTATTCCAGTTATATCACGGCATGTCAGCTTAATGTGGGAAGAAGTGTAGACGTTTACCACTTGGGTGAAAGCCACGAGCACGGGTATGGTGCTGACAAACCTAGAAACATAATCGGGGCGAACCAGGATTCGAACCCACAATCATAGGTTTCTGGCATGCCCAAGGGACGCAACTCTGCACAGCGAATCGTGGCGCCCTAGACAACTGGGCCACCCATGCCCCCCCAATAAAAAGTAAGAGGCATTAATGTATTGGATACAGTGTTGAAATTCCTCTGAAAAATAAGCGATTTTAAGATTTGGCCCAACCTTGGAGGTGATGTTAACGACCTACCTGGCATCTTTTCATTCCTGAAGGTGATGTTAGCAACCTACCTGGCATATTTTCATTCCTGAAGGTGATGTAAATGACCTACCTGGCATCTTTTCATTACTGAAGGTGATGTTAACGACCTACCTGGCATCTCACCACTAAAGGTGATGTTAACGACCTACCTGGCATCTTTTCATTCCTGAAGGTGATGTTAATGACCTACCTGGCATCTTTTCATTCCTGAAGGTGATGTTAGCAACCTACCTGGCATATTTTCATTCCTGAAGGTGATGTAAATGACCTACCTGGCATATTTTCATTCCTGAAGGTGATGTTAGCAACCTACCTGGCATATTTTCATTCCTGAAGGTGATGTAAATGACCTGTCTGGCATCTTTTCATTCCTGAAGGTGATGTAAATGACCTACCTGGCATCTTTTCATTCCTGAAGGTGATGTTAGCGACCTACCTGGCATATTTTCATTCCTGAAGGTGATGTAAATGACCTACCTGGCATCTCATCACTGAAGGTGATGTAAATGACCTACCTGGCATCTCATCACTGAAGGTGATGTTAGCGACCTACCTGGCATCTTTTCATTCCCAAAGGTGATGTTAATGACCTACCTGGCATCTCATCACTGAAGGTGATGTTAGCGACCAACTTGGCATCTTTTCATTCCCAAAGGTGATGTTAACGACCTACCTGGCATCTCATCACTGAAGGTGATGTAAATGACCTACCTGGCATCTCATTCCTGAAGGTGATGTTAACGACCTACCTGGCATCTCATTCCTGAAGGTGATGTTAATGACCTACCTGGCATCTCATCACTGAAGGTGATGTTAGCGACCTACCTGGCATCTTTTCATTCCTGAAGGTGATGTAAATGACCTACCTGGCATCTCATTCCTAAAGGTGATGTTAGCGACCTACCTGGCATCTTTTCATTCCTGAAGGTGATGTAAATGACCTACCTGGCATCTCATTCCTAAAGGTGATGTTAGCGACCTACCTGGCATCTCATCACTGAAGGTGATGTTAACGACCTACCTGGCATCTCATCACTGAAGGTGATGTTAACAACCTACGTGGCATATTTTCATTCCTGAAGGTGATGTTAATGACCAACCTGGCATATTTTCATTCCTGAAGGTGATGTAAATGACCTACCTGGCATCTCATTCCTGAAGGTGATGTAAATGACCTGTCTGGCATATTTTCATTCCTGAAGGTGATGTAAATGACCTGTCTGGCATATTTTCATTCCTGAAGGTGATGTTAATGACCTACCTGGCATATTTTCATTCCTGAAGGTGATGTAAATGACCTGTCTGGCATATTTTCATTCCTGAAGGTGATGTAAATGACCTGTCTGGCATATTTTCATTCCTGAAGGTGATGTTAATGACCTACCTGGCATATTTTCATTCCTGAAGGTGATGTAAATGACCTGTCTGGCATATTTTCATTCCTGAAGGTGATGTAAATGACCTGTCTGGCATATTTTCATCCCTGAAGGTGATGTTAACGACCTACCTGGCATCTTTTCATCCCTGAAGGTGATGTTAACGAGACAGAAGTGCAGCACCACGGGGCAGTGGGGGTCCTTGGGGTCCTTGAACAAATAGCACTCCTTCAGCCCCTCCCGGTCCACCACTGACGGGTCGATTGGGGGGAATGGAACTTGATTCAGCCGTGCCCATTTCTCTGCCAGCAGCAGTTCCTGCCAAGTAAACATGGTAAATGTGAAAAATGTAGTTGACGAATGTAATTGTGAAGGCTGGTGTGCAGAGGGTACCCCGGTATTAAATTTGGAGTCGTCCCAACCCAAGGAACAATAGCTTCATTTGAACCATATTGAAAGAATCATGAGAGAGAGAGATTGAGTGAGTGAGTGAGTGAGTGAGTTGCGTTTAACGCCGCTTTTAACATTATTCCAGTTACATCACGGCGTGTCAGCTTAATGTGGGAGGAAAGCCTTAAGTGATGCAGGTCTAAGACGTTTACCACTTCGGTGAAACCCACGAGTATGGTGCTGACAAACCTTGAAACATAATTGGGGCGAACCGGGATTCGAACCCACAATCATAGGTTTCTGGCGTGCCCAAGGGACGCAACTCTGCACAGCGAATCGCGGCGCCTTAGACGACTGGGCCACCCGTGCCCCCCTCATGAGAGAGAGAAATCCTGTGCTAAGATAGTGATAAGCCTGATGGAGAAGGTGATGCAACTTCTGATATGAAACTTTGTTGGAAAATGGGATCATAGAGTTTTCATACTAGAATAGAAGTACACCAGGTAATTGAGGATGCCATATGGCCAGGTGGGTGTACCTTGAATGCTGGCGTGGAGTCGCTCGGTCTGGCACTGAAGTCGAAGGACAGCAGGAGATCCACCCCTCTCTGAGGTCGCAACATCGGGGGGAATGGGGAGTTGAATGTCAGCCCCCCATCAACAACGTACAACTTCTTGATGTGGGTTGGATACATCTCAAATATACCATCGAACTGGTCTGTGGAGAAAAATACCAGATACTTTGAGAATCAGTGTATGTGCATAGGTCTGTAATATTGCCAGCCGTGGGTACAAGGACATAGTGTAATGGGCCTACTTGTAACAGCATGTACACTTCAGGCAGACAATTTGATATTCTGAACTTGTGAAGATCGGGGTTAGAATTGGTCTTCAGCAACCAATGCTTGTTGTAAGAGGTGACTATTGGGATCGGGTGGTCAGGCTTGCTGACTTGGTTGATGCAAGCATGGACCAGGCTACAAGGAACCTAGTTCTGTCATGGTTGGTTGGTTTGTTGTTTAATGCCGCACTCAGCAATATTCCAGCTATATGACGGCGGTCTGTAAATAATCAAGTCTGGACCAGACAATCCAGTGATTAATATCATGAGCATCAATCCACGCAATTGGGATCCATGACATGCATCAACCATGTCAGCGAGACTGACCACCCGATCCCGTTAGTCGCCTTTTAGGACAAGCATAGTCGCCTTTTACGGCAAGCATGGGTTGCTGAGGACCTATTCTACCCGGGATCGGTCGGTCAGGCTTGCTGACTTGGTTGATGCAAGCATGGACCAGGCTACAAGGAACCTGGTTCTGTCATGGACTCCTTTATGGTATCGAACTGACCTTTGGAATGCTCGGCAGTGGATGCATCAAACGGGGAATATGGGTAGACATTGGACAGGGACAGCCCTCTCATGAAGTTGTGAACCATGGCCGCCCGACCCTCGATGGACTGGAACAACGCTGAGTCAAACAAGCTCTCCAACATCCCCGACCAGAAAGATTTCTGACTCTTCTCGCCTGACTTTGTTTTGCGAAGAGAGGGTTTCCTTAGAGGCTTCTTGTTGGTCTTTGTGTTTGACTTTGCTGGTGGGTCCATCTCGGCCTCTGGATCACTCGTGTCACTGTCCTCATCTGACTGGTTGTCAATATCTTGCTGGAGTTCCTTTTCTGCAACCGTTTGTGAGACGTGTAACCAAAATAATACACTTTTGTTTTTCTTACCTTAAATGCATATTTATTAGCCTATCTGATCAATTTATGGAATTAACAATAAGAACCAACCAAAAACGAAGCAAATAAATGTTAACTTTATAAACAACTGATAAAATGCATACCGGTTGTCTTGTTCTAGAGACCATAAATTAAACATAACCCTTCTTCAACAGAGTCAAATGCCTATTGGTGAAATAATAGACAGTGTACATTTATTTCTAACATACAAGTGTGTGCTTCAGCTAAAAAAAGATCTGAGGACATCCCATTACTGGTCACATGAGAACGATCTTTCATCCGACCAATCAAGAGTGTCACTTACCAGAGACAGTAAGAATGTATTTCCTAATCATGCTGCTACCTTGAAAAGGTTAAAACAGATATTCCAAACAACAAGCAATATCATCATCTATCTCTTGCTTCCACGAGACTTGCACACCATCTATAAGACCTTTCAGAACTTTCTTTGGTTCATTTGTGAAATTTTGAATCAATATTTTTCAAAGCATTGTCTGATTCGAAACTGATTCGCCAGTCTGAAGCTCTTGCCGAAAAGCTTGAGCAAGCTGCTGTCTAATTGGCTAACGTCAACTTCTTGTTAGTCATTTTATTTGAAAGTTGTGGTTCTTACCTGTAAAGGGAGGTCCTCAGAACTTTGTGCGTTGAGACGTGATGTGTGATGTGATGAATGCAAATAGACTTCATTTTTGGTCTAAATTCACACAAAATCTAACAACTACTACTACTACTAAGCGGCGTCAAACCCAACTCACTCATAACATAAGCCTAAACTTTCACTGCTAACACTGTTTAATCACCTTTGTTTTGTTTGTTTGTTTGTTGTTTAACGTGGCACTTAGCAATATTCCAGCTCTATGACAGCGGTTTGAAAATAATAAAGTGTGGACCAGACAATCAAGTGATTGACATGAGCATCGATTAACGCAACTGGGATACAATGACATGCTTCAACCAAGTCAGCGAGCCTGACCACCCGATCCCGTTAGTTGCCTCTTACAACACGCATAGTCACCTTTTATGTCAAGCATGGGTTGCTGAAGGCCTATTCTACCCCGTATCTTCAAGGGTCTTAGTGAACTTTGAATCTGTTTTGTAATGAGCCTGACAATTACCGTCCTGAAGTTGTAATGTGTAGAGAGTACAATACAGGGAGACAACTCTTACCCAGCTCCTCCCTCTCCCGCCTCATGAGTTCCACTGCATCCACCTGCTTGTCGTCTTGCAGGAGACGCTTGAACTGAATACAGAAGGCACTGCCCCAGATACCTGCAGGGGAGACAATCCACAGGTGTTACATAAACAAATACCACATATGCGAATTGTCAAATTTGATAATAAATTGTATATGCATATACTTATCCCATCTCACATTTCTGCTTTTCAGTCCAATCCTTGAATGGAAACGATCTTTGAACCTATTTCCAAGCTTCAAAAACACCTCATCAAAACACATCCCAGACCATGGTCACCACTATCACCACTACCTGTTGTGAAGCAAGGACTCTTTCTCTTTCTCTTTCCTAGAGTGTTAACGGGCTTGCGTAACTGTAATGCAAGGTGGATTGGGTGGGTGTTTTCCGTGTGAGATAGGATAAGTAAATAAATATACAATTTATATTAAAATAATTTTTTTTTACTTTGTCCCATCTCACTCTTTGCAGTCATCCACTGTTGGAAGGAGGGGCACGGATACCCAAGCCTTGAAACTAGAAGTCTCTACGGAAGAATATCATCCTCCATTGGACGTTCAAGTCTGGTTAATCTGACTAACCGAACAAATAAACAACCAAGTCTAACAAACTTCATTATGTACAAGACACGACAACATGATCCAGCCGGATGGTCTAGTATCAATTAGGATGCCTTCCTCATCAGAGCTGAAGGGCTGCAGCCAGTTGTTGAGCCAGTACAAGGGGTTCAAGCTGGGGCCGACCCTGGATGTCCGAAACCGAGATGTCTCTCAGATAGTATGACACTGTATCCAATCTCCAAAACCTTCCATAATGGTTAAGGAACAGTTGCTATGCAGAGCCATGGTGGACGCCACTGCCCTTGTATCAAGTACTGAAGATATTCGGCTATCTGCTGTGTTGATGCTGTAGTGGGGAATGAAATGTCTCGGGTATTGTAAATATTCTTCGAACGCTTGTCACTTATGATCGTGAAGAGTCTTTGTCGAAGTGTGACGTGCAGCTGTGGTTGATCGAGCCGCTCTCTCCTTCAGCAATTTAGGATATTTGCAAATGCGCCAAACGCAGAGCCTCGGTTTAGATATCCTTATCAATACTCATATAACCATCTTCCCGAGGCAAGGGAGTTACCGTATATGACCGCGGATAAGCCGACCCCGTAGATAAGCCGAGGTGCTAACTTGACCATTGAAATACGAGAGAAAAGGATATGACCCGCAGATAAGCCGAACCAGGATATGAAAGGCAAAAAAACACTGCGAAGTCGGACTGCAAGACATGTGCCGGTACTCGCAGATATTAAAAAATATAAGATGAAAAACGTTGTAATTATATTGAAAAAGTCATTATTATTTCTAATAAAGATTTAACAAACCAGTCATCCACTTTCTGTTTCTCTTGTTTTTTTTTAATTTCATAATGATCGTTATATGTTGCCATCAACAACGAAGCGCCATTTTGTGAATCGGTGTATATAGAATTATGAACCCGTGAGAAAATATATCAGCTAGAGCGAAGACTCGCAGTTTGAATTCAGCATCGTAAGCATGGCGTTTTCGTTTCAAACTCGTGATGAGATTGTCAGTCAGTAAAAATATACCAACTTTTATAACCCCCTTTACACCACTATTGTATATTAATCTAATTGAATTAAATAAACTATCATACTATGAACACATTGAATGACCATCACTTACCCACAGGCTTCTGCAGTTTATTAACTAATCTCTCGAAAACAAAGGAAATAAGCCCCTACTCCCAACACGATCGCTAAGCACCAACAACTTGAAAATGTTTGTGTAAACAACATGACAATACCAATCGGCCCGTTATTATCAGTGCTCATTTCCTTGTGTACCGGGTTGCTTTTTAAACAACAGGAAGCAATCACAGTGGTCACCGTTTGTGACGTCACAGGAAACAGCTGATCACATGTTTTTGCAAATGGCGAACGGAATAACTCGCCGATACAGTTGTTTATTTGCCTCTTACAATAAAGGTGGACATTTGTTCACTATCAATTTATGAACTTTGCAAAACGTACGTAATAGCTATTGGTGATTTCATCTGGGAATTATATATTATAGCTGTGAATTACATATATTGTTACATGTAAAGATTGTGGAGTTTATGAAGAACGATAAACTTTGAACATTCAATTGAAAACTTATTATCGGAAGTAGTAACATGCATAACATTTTTATAATAATAACAACATTGGTGTATAATAATAACTTTATTGATAATTTATAACAATAATGGCTGTAGTCGTGGCAACTTCCAAACTTTCGGGAAGTTGTAATCTATCGGACTGTCATTCAGGCGATGTTTCTGACAGATCACGATCTGAAAAATACTATCATGAAAGTGTATCCCGTGGATAAGCCGACCCCTTTCTGCAGAATCTTTTTTCTGGTCCTCAAAATTCGTCTTATACGCGGTCATATACGGTAACTGACTACAAAAATCGAGTTTCAACCCTTGCCAAACTAGGCTGGTATTATGGAGTTACAGTTTGGCTGGAGTCTCTGCATAGTCCAATCAAAATCATGCAACGAAATCGAAATCAGGTTTGTGAACTGTCATGCAGGATTTGTAAAGCATGTGCACCGCCAACTTGTTGTCCACAGATATTTTCCTAATCTTTTCGTGTTTTTAATAAAGGTGCTCACGCTATTTGATGTACCCGTTTTATCACAATATAGATCTTGATTATCAATCAGATCGTCTCGACTGGGCGCCGTCATTATGTTTGAAGCAAATCCAAGTGATACAAGAGGTGGAATCTGTTTGGTCCATAGGAGAGGAATAGAAGGGACATAACTCGTAATAACCACTGGTGGCACTACGGTCGAGCCCAGTAATTCCAGCCTAGTTCGACAAGGGCAGAAACTGGTCAGTTTACTCTCTTGCCTTGGGAAGATGTAATATAACATACTTTCTTGGCCTTATTTATGGAACAAACAAACAAACTGAGATAATACTAATTTAAATTTGTCTCAATTTAATTTCTTTTCCTAAAAGGACAAAATAATTACTGAGTCAAGCTGTTGCATGAGATTTGTATCTAACTACTTTTTTAGATCTAACATCCTGATCGCTCAATCACATTGTCAGTTAATAATGTCAGGTAATTAAAGATTAACTTCATTAACCCACAGGAATACGTAGCTGTACACACATAAAGTAATTTGTTTTGACCATCGCCGGTTGTCCCGTTTTTTTTGTCGCAAGGTAAGCAGTGAATGCATTAAGGAGTAATGCAGGATAAGTAAAAAATATAGTGCTTTTCTGTCTGTGGTAGTCTGTTAATGGTTTGATACTTGAAATGTTCATGTCATTCAATTTCCAAGAAATGAATGATTTTATTGGAAAAATATAATTGCTTGAAAAACATACTGTTGAAAACAAAAGAAACTGTTTGCCACAAAAATACATTGTTGCAAGATGTTGTTTTTATTTAGACTCATAGTTTCAAATTTAAAAAAATATATATGGTTTTGCATGTGTAGCTGAAAAAGAATGTAGTTTTTATACAAAATTGCTAACATTAAATTAAATAGAAAATGAAAATCAGTGCTAAACCAGTCACCCACCTTGTAGAAAGTGCAGTGGGGGTTCTGGGTATTGCTTTACAAGCTGACCCATAAAAAACTTGCTTCCGAACAACTGTGGCTTCATAAACGTTGCATACTTTGGCATCCCGATCTCATATGGACTGAACTCCATCCACTCTGAAAACACACATCTTTAACATGAACAAATCAAGAATCACTACAAAACTATACATCAACATCTGCTTACCCCCAACGATGATGTTTTTTCAAGATATTGATGTCTTTAGATGAAGTTTCATTTGTCTTTATCAATCTTTATAATCATTATCTCACTCATTCACTTACAAATGTACAAAAACTTTTCCTTTTCCTTTAAAAACTGAAGGTATATTTACCAAAACACACCCACCCTTAGTCAGATGACCTTCAATCAGGCAAAACTGACCTTCAGAGTTAGTGAGTTTCAGCTTAACACCATTTTGAAGAGAATCACTATCTTATCACAATGTGTCTGCTTAATAAGGGAGGCAAATCAGGCTTCACACATTATACCAATACAGGGATTTGAACTGAGGCCATTAGGCCACTAGCAGTGTTCGAAATACCTGCCTGCCCGAACGTCCGAGACGGGTGGATTTCAACTCGGGCTGCCAGATTTTCAAATACCCCTGCCCGATGGTCGGGTTATATTTCATATGTAAAAATATTCTAAATATTTCCCGATGATAAGCATTATTTACATGATGTATTCTAGGATATTAAATACAAATCTGACCTAAAAAGTGTTTGCTATTTCTTTTCTTGCATTACTTCATGTTCAATGAATTCGATTTAAAGTTTTAATTAAATTATCCTGAGAAAAATGATTATAGTGGGCAGGCAGGTTTTGGTCAGGGCTGGCAAGTATTTCAGCTAGCCAGTCCTGTGGTCTGGCTGAAAATTTTGGGAGTTTCATACCCTGCCACTAGGCTGAATCTAGAATGAACAGATTGTGATCGCTAGGTGTTAGTCATCCATCACTCTACTAATACATAGATACAACACAAGCAGGTGAGGCCTACAGATGGCCTTATTTCTATAGTTAAGTCCATACATGCTTGATCTATATGTTCACTCGGTTTAAGGTCTCTGGTTCAGTATGATTGTGGCATCAAAATTATCTCCCCTAATGTGACAAGGGACATAACAAAATATGAAGTTCTTGGAGAAGTTCACTTTATTCTTAAAAATTATTGGGATCTTGATTTGTTGCGTTCAAATATTGTGCGTCCAAAGATTGAGTGTTAATTTGATACTTCATGTATAAAATATGTCCTGACACAACTGCTTGTACTCCAGCTGTCAAAGACAATCCTCATAAGTGAGTGAATGTTGTTGTAAGCCACATTTAGCAATATTCCAGCTCTACCACAGTGGCCTGGTAATAATTGAGTCTCAGCCAGGCAAACCCATGAATGTGAGCAATGATCCATGCAGAGAGACACACATTCAGCCAAATTACAGTGTTATGTGTAGATAGGCCTAATGTTAGTGGCGATAGAAACCTTTGTTAAATATTATATTTGCAATAATTGTCCGAAGCAGCAAATTACTGAACTAATGATAAAAAACATCAAGTGTGGCCATATTTGAACATCCAATAGTGAGTACAGCTTTCAAGATGGTTTTGTATGGGAGTTATCTGGCCTTGGTTGTATACATGGCCATGGCAGGCTTGATCGTTCAAGACATTTCTGGGCAGAACAGTTTCAAGAATGCTGGCAGTATCTATGTAAGGGGGCAGTTCGAGGGCTTTTGGACTGAACTTGTTTCTAATTCACTTGGAAATCACCTTATAACATTAGACACTGACAAACAGATCCCTTTGGGTGTGGCAACCTAGGAACTCATTCTAGTCTGGGATCTTACGGAAGATATGACCGACCACAAGATCCTGTTGACACAAGCCGACCCATCCAGGTAATTACAAGCAGTCAAGCACTAAGTTCTCTGCTTGGCCTACCAGCCTAATATCATCATGAACATCTTCAGTACTCAGTCTCATAATCAAAGTCCAAGTGAAGCAGGAGACGTAGGGAGCCACGAGGTGTCGACATGGAGCTAGTTGTCTTACCGTGGAAGATCATGGCCGATACATGCTTCTTGACAGGGACCTAGCTCACAGTCTTACCGTGGAAGATCATGGCCGACACATGCTTCTTGACAGGGACCTAGCTCACAGTCTTACCGTGGAAGATCATGGCCGATACATGCTTCTTGACATGGAGGCAGGTGCAGAGAGGCATTGACAGGGACCTAGCTCACAGTCTTACCGTGGAAGATCATGGCTGACACATGCTTCTGGACATGGAGGCAGGTGTAGAGAGGCAGGGAGCTAGCTGGTCTTACCGTGGAAGATCGTGGCTGACACATGCTTCTAGACAGGACCTAGCTCACAGTCTTACCGTGGAAGATCATGGCTGACACATGCTTCTGGACATGGAGGCAGGTGTAGAGAGGCAGGGAGCTAGCTGGTCTTACCGTGGAAGATCGTGGCTGACACATGCTTCTAGACAGGACCTAGCTCACAGTCTTACCGTGGAAGATCATGGCTGACACATGCTTCTTGACATGGAGGCAGGTGTAGAGAGGCAGGGAGCTAGCTGGTCTTACCGTGGAAGATCGTGGCTGACACATGCTTCTAGACAGGACCTAGCTCACAGTCTTACCGTGGAAGATCATGGCTGACACATGCTTCTTGACATGGAGGCAGGTGTAGAGAGGCAGGGAGCTAGCTGGTCTTACCGTGGAAGATCATGGCTGACACATGCTTCTAGACAGGACCTAGCTCACAGTCTTACCGTGGAAGATCATGGCCGATACATGCTTCTTGACATGGAGGCAGGTGCAGAGAGGCATTGACAGGGACCTAGCTCACAGTCTTACCGTGGAAGATCATGGCCGACACATGCTTCTTGACATGGAGGCAGGTGTAGAGAGGCATTGGGATCTCACCAGACTGGAGCCTCTGCTGTTGGTCTGTTAACCTGGTGTCCAGTCTCTGTACACAGACAGTCACACACATTGCAGGGGCTCACACCCATTACAGGGGGTCAAACATGTTACAGGGAGTCAAATATGTTACAGGGAAACACAAAATGTTAGGTAGTGAAACACTACATTCAGAGGTGTTACATACGTTACAGGGAGTCAAATGTTACAGGAAATGACAATATTAGGGAGTGTCACAACGTTACAGGGAGTTACATAATGCAAGAGGGTTACTGTTACAGGGTTACATTTTACAGGGAGTAACATATGGTTACACAGTTACACAATTAGAAAATATTAGACAAATAATCCATCATACATTACAGAGTCACACAATGTTACTGTTTGTCACACAACATTACAGTCACACAACATTACTGTTTGTCAAACATTTGGTCACACAATGTTACTATTTGTCACTCAACATTACAAAAACAATGTTACAGTGTCACATAATGTTACTGTTTGTCACAAAATGTTACAGTTTGTCACTCAACATCAAGCCCCCGTGACACTATCAAAAACTTTGACCAAGTTTTCTTGGTCCAATTTAAGTTGGACTGTTTATACTCATCAAAGTTTTTGGACAGGCCTTCAAAGTTTTGGTGGGAATTATCTTGCCAAGGTGGATGCTACTGATGAAGAATTGTTTGCTGTTATGTATTTTGTGTATTGCCATGTTGAGAAGGCGGCGTCGGGGTAGGCAAAGGCACATTTGGTTCTGAGAATGGCTGCTCTTTGTTGAAACAAATCAATTAATTCTTCCAACATCTCATCAGTCCAAAATAGTTGACTTATTTTGACTTGACTCTATGCACTTCTAGTTGAAAAGGGGTAAATGTTCCTTGCAGTCTGATTGGCTTAATTAAATCAACATCATCAAACTTTGATCAAAGTTTGATGAGAAATAGGATCGGTTTCTATTCCATCGAAATCCCGTAAAAATCTTTGTCAAAGTTTTTGACGGCATGTTACACTATCAAAAACTTGGTCAAATTTTTGACAAAAGTTTTTGAAAGTGTAACGGGGGCTTTCCAAAGTCACACAATAATGTTACTGTGTCACACAATGTTACAGGAGTCTTGCAATGCTTCAGGCAGTCTACTGTCAATCAAGCACACTGCAGCACCTACCCCCTTGAGCAACGTCTCTCCCACAAGATGGCCGAAGAAGTCGGTGAATGACACAGGCTGTCCATGCTGTCTCTTTTCCATGATGCGTCGGATGTAGCGGTACATACTCTGTGGGTTGAGCAGCCAGAACGGACTCGACTGGATATTCTCTTTTAGTTCCTCTTTCATCTGATTGGGTGTTTTTCTTGGCCAATCAGGGTGGGAGTAGAGCTGGGAGATGTACCTGGCAACAGAGATGTCGTGTAGAAAACTAACAGGGAGATACAGGTATATAAAGGACAGCACCGTTCACTATATTATCCAGTGTATAATATCTCCATTTTATTAAGGGAAACAACCTGGTCTCTTTTGCCACAACATCTTTGGGAAATACATCACAACCTCCATTGCAATGTTCTGAAACTGCACAAAGAATATTGTAAGAGTAATTTCCCTGGACAGCTACTTTCGGCATCATGCTACTCGTAACAGGCTTAAAGCAAAGCCATGGTTGCAAATCGTCCAGGGTATTTATCATAACAGAATGGAGATATAATACCCTGGATAATAGAGGATGAATTTACTATTACTGCTAAATAATCCATAAGTGTAGTTTCTTCACAGTAATCATGAGAACATGTATTAATATACTAAAAGCAACTCTGATCATGTTCTTTTTATCATGTTGCAATTCTTTAAAACCACACAACACAAATCTCCTTTCATCTTCAACCTTTGGTCCCCAGCAACTTTTGCTGGCTGTGAAAGGTGACTTTATGAATCGATTGGTCTGTGACATGGTTGATTGCTTGTCATGGTACCCCAACAGCATGGGGGTTGGTTGGGTAGCCTAGTGGTTAAAGCGTTCGCTCGTCATGCCGAAGACACAGGTTCGATTCCCAACGTGGGTACAACGTGTGAAGCCCATTTCTGGTGTCCCCCGCCATGATATTGCTGGAATATTGCTAAAAGCGGTGTAAAACAATAGTCACTCACTCCCAACAGCATGGATTGTTGCTCATAATATCAATCACTGGATCAGAATTGATTATTTATGATTCATCATCACATAGCTGGAATACTGCAGACTGTGGCATAAACCAACCAACTAACAAAATGCATCAACCAAGTCAGTGAGCCTGACCACCCGATCCCTTTAGTCGTCTCTTACACTAAGCATGTGTTGCTGAAGGCCAATTCCTTCCCGGATCTTCACAGGTGGTATTAACAGGTGATGGCTCCACAGGGGATGAGGTAAAGGGTAATATGCTAGTTATCATGCATTACTCACCAGGCTGATCCAGAGAGACCTGCGACGTAGGAGACCATGTCAAGCACCTGGCTGTCGACTAGAGCACCCATCACCCCGCACATTGCGGACATCGCACGGAAACCTCCCCCGGAACCAAGCACTGCTATGGTTGGTACCTGGGACACAAATATCAAAGTGGAACATTGATCATTTTCAATCCTTCCAACAACAAAAAAAGCAGATACCAAATGAAAACATATTTATATTTTATTTTGGCTTGTAGCTTTGTGCCTTTGTTGGTCAGTCTGTAAACTGACAGGTTGCCTAATCATGTGTGAGGTGCAGCATTAAAAACCCTCGTCTTATCAGGCCCAACGTCCAATAGGTGTTTGTTATCACTGAGGAGACGTAAAATTACACCCTTATAATGTCCTCCAACTAATACAAAATCCACAGTGCCACTCAAGCTGCATGTACCTCAAGCTCAATTATTTAGAGGCTGCGGCTCTAGGCATCCTAGAGAAGGTACAGACCAAATGAGAAAAGCATGATTACTTTTTGAAGGAGTGTAACCACAAACTGTCTGAGATTTTTCTATTTCATGACTTTGACTTTTGACCTTCTCAAGGCATACACCAAAAGAATTCCCAAGGTCCATTTGCTATGAAGTCCATGGAAGAATAATCTTTTATCTTTGTGTAGTTGGCCTTCGAAAACTTACTGCCAGTGGGTAGCTGTCAAGTTCCAGCCAAACATTTAAGCAGTCCTGTACCACAGTCCTGTCTCAAGTCATCCGTGTTTTACAGGATATGGATCAGAGTCCTACCTCTCTGAGATTCCGGGGTCCGTTCTCTTTGAGTTTGTCCCTCATGGAATCAAAGATCCTCCGCTTCCTTGTCTCCATGAACTGTTTCTCCTCATCACACAGCGCCAGGCTGTAGTTCAACTTGGGGTCGTAGCTGCAATACGGAATGTCAGAGTGAGTCAGTGAATAACAGGATTGAATAGGTCTTCAGCAACCCATTCTGAGAGCTGACTATACTTGATGTAAGAAGCGACAAACGGAATGGGGTGGTCAGACCCACCGACTTGGTTGATGCATGTCATTGTATCAGAATGTGTAGAAGGATGCTCATGATGTGAATCACTGGATTGTCTGGTCCAGACTTGATTATTGACAGATAGCTGTCATATAGCTGGCATATTGCTTAATGTGGCTTAAACAACAAACAAACAAGCAGAGAATAACACTGCAGTTATCAATATTCTTGCTATATCACATGCCTGTAAATAGTCTCGATCAGCCAAACCAGTGGTTGATTGCATCACACCCTGACTAAGCATCATACCAAACAACGTTAAAAGGAGGTTCTTGTTGTTTCCCTGCCTGGCCCTTGGCATTAAGGGCATAAAACAAAGACTGGTTGGCACGGAGTCAGTCATCTTCGTGAGGCAAGAGTGAGTGAGTGAGTGAGTTTTTTAACAGTATTCCAGTCATATCACGGCGTGTCAGCTTAATGTGGGAGGAAAGCCCGAAGTGATGCAGGTCTCAGACGTTTACCACTTCGGTGAAACCCACGAGCACGGGTATGGTGCTGACAAACCTAGAAACATAATCAGGGCGAACCGGGATTCGAACCCACAATCATAGGTTTCTGGCGTGCCCAAGGGACGCAACTCTGCACAGCGAATTGGGTGCCTTAGACGACTGGGCCACCCGTGCCCCCCGTGAGGCAAGAGAGTAAACTGACTTTAAAAGTCCAGTTTCCCCCTTGCCGAACTAGGCTGGAATTCCTGGACTTGATCGTAGCGCCATAAGTGGCTATTACTATTATGTCCCTTCTAAGCCTCTCCTACTGACCAATCAGATTCCACCTCTCATATCACTTGCATTTGCTTCAAACAAAATGATGGTGCCCATTTAGGACAATCTGATTGATAATCAAGATCTATATTGTGATAAAACGGGTCTTACATTGCGAAATGCATCAAAGCACGTGAGCTTCTTGATTAAAAACCTGAAAAGATTTGGAAAATATCTGCCGACAACGAGTTGGCGGTGCACATGCTTTGCAAATCCTGCAATCCACCGAAATCTGCATGACAGTTTATGAACCGGATTTCGATTTCGTTACATGATTTTGATTGGACTATGCATAGACTCGTTAATCCAGCCAAAATTAACTCCATATAATACCAGCCTATTTTGGCAAGGGTGGAAACTGGACTTTTATACTCTCTTGCCTCGGGAAGATGGGAGTCAGTATACTGTGTCTGTGTGGGGTATCCATGTAAACTGTGGCATGGTATCTCAGTGGGCTAGCACTATAAAACCGGACTAGTAAAGCAGCCATACACACACATATGCATGCACGTCACTCTATAAGTAAAATAATCTTGAATGTGATGCTAAACCTCATTTCGCCTCACCATAAGACCAAGCATGAGAACATGACCTATGTTGCCAGGGAATATGCCCATATCATTCATAGCAGCCACATGTTATAGAATCCCTATTTCACTCACTTAAATAGCTGAGACCTATTTTGCCTGGAAATATGCCCACATCATTCAATGTATTCAGCTCATTATGAAGACAACATTATGGAACCAAAATACCAATTTCAAAAAATGAAAAATAGAAAAGAACAAAAAGACAAATATCTATTTTCAGCTGCCTTGAATACTCACTCCACACTGGCCTCCATCTGGATCTCCACTTCAGACGTCTGTAGAACAAGATGAGACACTGAGACGAGCGGACATTTTTAGACTAGCTGATAAAGTGCAAGAAACATGTCCTCCATGGTGACAGACAGCCAGATCAGCATACATCACATTAGATTTCACAGACACACAACATAGATGTTGAATAACATGAATTCTACCATGACACTGAAGGGTGATCTAATTTGATTGGTTATTGTTATTAAATTTCAAGTGTCTATGAGTGATAACCACTTTGTTTTACAGCCGCTTCACATTTCACAGGAATATGGAATAATTTGCACATGATTACCCTGGCATATGTAGAGAAACAGTCTGGCCTACTGGTACTATCAATTTGAGTCTCTCAAGATAACGGCTTGAGCACTATTAATACCAATTACTGTTAGAGTGACAAATAGTATTTTGTCCAAATTTGCCTGCCATGAAATCCTAAATATATGGCAGTATCGGATATCTTGCCACAGGGTAATGATGACATTGATATTTTGCAACCCGTTTTCCCCTATGAACCAGACATGACACATCAACAACTTATGTACTCACATCATTGAACCTGATTCGGTGTCTGACAGTCTTGTCCAGGGGGAGAGGCTTGAGAGGCAGGTGCTTGGTACACAGGTGCTCGTCTACCATGTAGTTGGCATCCATTAAACTGATTTCTGAATAAGAAGGTCAAGATTAATATATACCCAATCACCTTGAAAACATAATGCCTATAATAAACCATGTAAAAATTGTAATTTTATTCTACTTTTGTCCATTTAATATCAGGTATATATTCTGAATCACAAAGAAAATGCCATTCCTTTAACAAAATAGTTCAAAAATATATATAATCACAACTAAAGTCTTCACTTAACCAGTTCACTCCACACCCACCAGTGGGGATTCCGGTTAAGAACAAACAATGCTTGTCCCAAGAGGCAACTAGATTGACTGTACCACTACAACTACTACAATTACTACACCCTAGTCAAGATTTTGTTAAGAATTGGTCTTCAACAACCCATGCTTGTACTCCTGTGAAGATCCGGGTTGGAATTGGTCTTCAACAACCCAAGCTTATACCGTATTTTCTTGAGTATAGTGCACACTTTTTAAAAAAAAACCACAGCTGTGTAGAAGGGGGTGCGCATTATACACGAATGAATGAGTTTTGATGTTTTTTCCCCCATGGGAAGACATTACCGTGAGCACGTAACACCGGAAATACCATGTCAATAAATCCATACTGAAGTTCGCAAATTATTCATGCAATTACACTGTCTGGCTATAAAACGTGTTCTTTGTATATCTGGACTTATGTATGTAACTTATTTCATTAATTTTATTCAAAATTCCTTTTAATATTGTTTTAATTAATTTCGGCGAAATCGTGTGTGAAGCGATCGGAAGATCGCACAACTCACCGTTATTAACAGCAACCACGGTCAGATTACCGCTATTGATGCCTTGAAACAAACTTTAGTTGACAGAGAATGGATACATATATCATAAATGCCATACTTTGATTCGTTAAAAGTCATATTTGTTTTTGTTGGACGATTCTATGTCAACACGTAATTCTCGCGATCACGCGCATGGGAGCCTTGACGGTGACTGGTTAGACTGGTTCCATGTATAATATAATACCCGGCAATAGCGATCAGCTGCTTCGCTTAGGGTTATTATTATTTTAAATATGTTTAGTAAAAGCTGCATCTAAATTAACAAGATATTGGAATATATTATTCCTGATAAAAAAATAGTTTCAGATACAACTTTTGCCGATCCTTGCATTAAAATACTGTAAAGTTGAATCATTGGGTGTGTCTTGACCGAATCACCGGTAGATTCCAAGAAAACGTGTGTACAGCTGATTGCTGTGTCCGGCTTAGTTTACGAGAAAATACACAAGGTAATCTTAATCCCTGGATATAAAACAATGCCTAGCTGAACAAAAAAAACGGTAAACAGTTTAAACGGTAAATCAACATGTCTGGTGATTTTTTATCTCAAATTTCAAATTTGTACTGACGAAGTTTCTCATCACCCGTTCGTTTGCCGGACTTCGATGAAGGGGTATGGTGTAATTTTTTTCTGCGCATAATATACAAATTTCTTTTTTTCCAAAATATTGAACCCGCTAGAGGGGGGTGCACATTATACATGGGTGCGCACTATACTCAAGAAAATACGGTAGTAAGAGACGACTAATGGGATCGGGGGGTCAGGCTTGCTGACTTCGTTGATGTATGTCATCTTACATTTGTGTAGATCGATACCCATGATGTCAATCACTGGATTGTCTGGTCCAGATTTGATTATTTACAGACTGCCCTCACATAGCTGGAATACTGCTGAGTATGGTGTTAAACAAACAAACAAACAAATGACACGTACCGAGTTCATTCTCCAGCGAGGGGTCCAGGAAGAAGGTGAATGTTTCATTCCAGACTGGGTTGACGTTATTGTCCTTCACCGTGGTCTTCTGCCAGCCCGAGGGGGACGTCTTGATTGACAGGACGACATAGGGATCAGGCGTGTCGACTGCAGAGGAAGACACACTTTCAATACTTGGTTCTTCAATAACTTCACAAACAATGTAAATACAATGGGTTTCAGTATTACGCTTACTTACATTGATTTCAGGATTTAACCCTTCCAAATTTGAGTTGTTCGTTTGTTGTTTAACGCCTCACTCGGGGTAGAATAGGTTTTCAGTAACCTATGCTTGCTGTAAAAGGCAGCTATGCTTGTCGCGTTTAAGAGGCGACTAACGGGATCGGGTGGTCAGGCTCCCTGACTTGGTTGATGCATGTCATCAGATCCCAATTGAGTGGATCGATGCTCAGCTGTCAATCACTGGATTGTCTGGCCCAGACTCGATTATTTACAGCCCCCCATCATATAGCTGGAATATTGCTGAGTGTGGCGTCAAACAAAACAAACAAACAAACAAACTGTGACTGACCAAGATCTTTAGCCCATCCTTTGGTGATGTTGAATCCCTGGTTCACCTGGATGACGAGGATGGTGCAGGGCTTGTGGTGGACCTGTCGACACAGACATGTACATATTGGCACAGATATATCCCTGATTGTTTCCACCTTGTCACAAATAATACACAGCTGACGTGACACTTCTTTCTTATTATTTTTACAGATTTCAAAGCAGCAACTAACAGAAATACAGTAAAACACATATATACCATACTAATGGTTACAACAAACTATTTGCTTTACTATATATTATCATAGAAAACTATCACAATGACAAATTATGTATATCATCCAAAACTGGCTCCCACGGGAGATATCGCTTGGGTGAGATCAATGAAATTGCATCACAATGCTTTGCAAACCATTGTGACGTCTTTGGTTACCACGACGTCACAATCAAATGACATCACTAATGGCTCTGCTACTGAAGCTGTTAGCAGTACTTTTTACACTTAAGTCACTGCTTATTACTGTCTACAAACTGAAAAAGTTGGAAGAATGATGCTGGATGATCAATAAAATCTCACCAAGCCTCAGAGTTTTTTCCACTTTTCAACTCGTGTTGATATATTTGATATCAAAAGACACAAGGGTGAGATTTTCTATATAATGAATTAATGGCTACAGCAAATTGATTGTTTACCTCAAACAGACCTAAAAGAATTATTATTGTACAGTACCAAACTAGTCAACTCAGAAGGTGAATCAAACAATGCTCATGTTATAACATAACTATCACTACATTACGCAGATCAGTGAACTTACTTAAGAGTCAGTTATAATATTACAGAGGTGAATCAAACAATGCTCATGTTATTACGTAACTATCACTACATTACGCAGATCAGTGAACTTACTTAAGAGTCAGTTATAATATTACAGAGGTGAATCAATGATAGTTTGAAACCTCTGAACCTACCTCAAATACTTTAAAGGGATCAAACCTGGAATAAGAAAACAAACAATTTATTAAACATCCCTGTTAAGGAAGAAAGAGAGAGTGAGTGAGTTGTGGCTAGCAACATCTCGTTCAGGCAAAAGATACTGAAATGTCTCTATCCCGACATTGTAACGGTGATATAATAATGCACACCTCTTAGTTGATAAACATATAAAAAATTCTCCCATTTCTGTCGATCAATATGACCAAAGAAATACAGTAAAAAAATAGTTCAAACATATTTTTCATTTCCCATCTGCTTCATTAATTTTTACCATTTTTAACTGGAACGATACAACTGCAAGAAGGCCCCCCAAATATCTGTAATATACATAATATTATAAATAATGCCAGGTGAAATGTATGGTACAGCTTCTGCCAACATAACGATGTAATAAAGGGAAGAAAGCCTGATCAGCAGTTACTGAGCGAGTTTGGCTTCACACCGGTTTGAACAGTACGGTATTCATGTTATATCACATGTTTGTTTGAGGGAGACAGTCTGAAGTGATGCAGGTCTCAGACCTTTACCACTTTGGTGAAACCCACGAGCATGGGTATTGTGCTGACAAACTTGAAACATAATCAGGGCGAACCAGAATTTGTATCCACAATCGTAGGTTTCTGACAACTCTGCACACCAAATGGCGGCACCTTAGACTACTGGGTCACCAAAGCCCAATAATTATGCCTGCATAATATAGAGAACTCTGTGAGACAATACACATCCTTGTTACTGTAAATAGTCCACACCCTCTGACTTAACCTGACTTACCATTGTTTCCACCCCAATAAACATACCACTGATTACTAAGAAACAACATACCATTGTTTACTCCCCAATAAACATACCATTGTTTACTAAAAAAAACCTAAAAAAACAAACATACCAGTTTACTCCCCAATAAATGTACCATTTTTTGCTTCCCAATAAACATACCATTGTTTACTTCCAACTACACAAACTCAAACAACTTTCTGTTTTTTAAACTTTAAAACTTCTTTTAATGACATATTTTAATATACCTTAGTAATTTGCTTTCACACAATCCGTAAAAAGCTAAACAATATTGTTTGGACTAAGAGTCTGAAATAAGTGTTCCTAATTAAGGGTGTACTGTATATCAGTATAACGGTAAATTGAGGTTAATTTTTTCCACGATACGTATCACAATATATTATGTTTTCATGCTTGATATATCGTGTGATTTCAAGTAGCGGTTTTTTATGATGTGTTTAATGTTATATACTTGCCAAATGCCTTCGCTGTCCAAGATGGCTGTGTATTTATTGCCTGAGGAAACATTATGTTGTACCAGCATCTTGTTTTGTTCCATTTAGGTGAGTGAGTCAGTTAATGCTTTATGTTACATCAGCAATATTTCAGCCACATCATGACGAGTGTTCCATTTAGGAACTTAAATTCATACCTTAATGTATCAGATTGCTTCTGAATTCAAAATTTACAATTATACAATATATTGTGATACCGGTACGTATCACAATATGGCCTTGTGCATTGCAAAATATTGTGATACACTTTAAACCTCCAAAACCCATCCCTACTGCTAATATTCCAAACATTCCAGAATGACCCAGCAGCTGCTGGTAGTGTACAAACCTGTTGGACTTGAAGGACATTGTGAGGTTCTGGAGAACAGTCTGTCTGAGGTCATCTGCTCTGCTTCATGTTACTGGAATCATAGAAAAAAAACATCAGAAAACTCAGGATTCTACTGTCACTACATCCTTGCATCACCATTCTAGTAGAACATATCACCATTCTAGTAGAAGATATCACCATTCTAGTAGAACATATCACCATTCTAGTAGAACATATCACCAATCAAGATGCACATACCTCCATTCTAGATGCACAAACTTCCATTCTGGTTGTAAATTCCTCCACTCTTATTTTAATAAACACCCTTGGCCTGAAACCGTAAACTGCTACAGTTCCTCTGTCTACCTCAGTGCATGTCTCGCACTTATGAGAGAAATTTGAATGGACAGCTGTTTACTGCATTGTGTCATACTAATCCTGATGGTGGTGAATGGGTCAAGTATTTATGTAACAGATTAGTGATATAATATACAGGATAATGCCCTCATTTGATAATACAAGATGAATAAAGACACTGTGGAAATGAAAGCTCTCTGGCATTCTGCCATGAATGTGGACATTATTCAATTCTGATAGGTCAATCACCTCTGATTGAAACGTGAAACCTTTGATCATCGCAGCAGCTAATATACTGAACTGCAAAAGAAACATCACCAAAAGTAACATTGCATGAAAAGTTGTCATTTAAATATCTGGGTAATTTTTTGTCAGAGTTTCTAAAATTTAACATTACCTTATCCGGGAAAAATGAAATTTGATGATAAAAAAACAGAGCAGATGACAATAAAACCGATCGCCCAAATGCATCACGGCAACGGCCATGGTAACCCGATGCACGTGAGTTCCGTGCAAGTTGAAATGCACATACGTTCCCCCATTTCTTGCCCTATAAAAATCCACCCAGATGGGGTAACATTAATTTGTTATTGAAGTGCTACCACATGCCAAGATTGACAAGAAATCAGCGACACCAAGCCCTTGGATGATTGCAAGCTGGACAAACGGCCCGGCAAGTAGCCAATGTATTTCAAGTCCACGTAAGGACCATATACAGGCTCCAGTAATTGCATGAGACCACCAACACTACTGATGACCGCCCACTTAGTGGAAGACCAAGGGTCACCACTCGACGTCAGGATTGTCAGATTGTGCGACAGCATCTTCAAGATCGCTTTGTTACTGCTGTGGTAACTGCTCAACAGACCATAGGGACACACCAGTGACACATAAGTACAGACACCGTGCGTCGACGATTGACGAGCAGACACCTCCAGTCACAGGCCACACCGAGGACCCATTCTGACACCACGTCATCCCCGGGACCATCTTCAGTGGGCAACACAGCACCAGCGTTGGTGCCACCAGCAGTGGAGAAGAGTCCTCTTCTCAGACAAGAGCCGTTACTGTATCTCAACAGCAGATGGCAGAGAGAGAGTCTGGCGACGCCGTGGGGAACGTTATTGGGATGCTTGTGTTGTTGAGAGAGACTCGTGGGGTGGTCCGCATCATGGTGTGGGTTGGAATTGGTCTTGCACAGAGGGTCGGCCCTGTGGTCTTCCAGAACATCGGTCCTGGGAGAGGCAATGGTGTCACACCAGCTCGGTACATTGATCAAGTCTTGAGATCACATGCCATATCTCATTTGGCACGTTGCCGCAACCACTAGTTTCAGCATAATGCCCGTGCCCACACTGCGAGAGCAACAAGAGACTTCCTCCAGCAGAATGGCATCAGAACCATGCAGTGGCCTGACCTCAGTCCCGATTTAAATCCCATTGAGCACCTGTGGGACGAGATTCAAAGACGGCTGAATGACGTCTGACCAAGGCCGACAACTGCAGCTGAACTGCGGCAGGCGTTCTTCGGAGTTTGGGCTCAACCGCCCCATCCATTCAATGTATCGATGTTGCACAGCAGTCATCAATGCACATGGCAGACACACGAGATACTGACTTGTGATGCCATTTTCTCAGAGACTAGTGTTGTGTTTCACTTTAAGAACATTTGACACTTTAATTTCAACCTTGATGATCAGTTTTGTAAAGTTTCATCTTTTTAATATGTCTCAAAGTATGTTTACAGTGTTTAGACGAATACGGTTTCTCATATATGTATATATGGTGATGTTTCTTTTGTGGTTCAGTATATTTATATACAAGTATTTCTTTCTCAGTCCCAGTCAGTGAATATTTCTAAATAATAATATTCTCCAATTTCAATGCCAAGTCGACCAATAAAGTTCCGGGGTAGAACAGGTCTTCAGCAACCCATGCTTGCTGTAAAAGGTGACTATGCTTGTCGTAAGAGGCGACTAACGGGATCGGGATCGGGAGCGTGAATTAAATGCGAAAAATGTGTGTGGTCTTTGCTCGCATTTTTAAACATCGCAATTTATATCAGCAATAAGACATTTTGGACAGCAAAAATACCAACTTAGATATACGCTGATGTATTCCACACCACTGTTTATTGCGCAGCACTTGTATATAGACAAGACAAGAGTTCTACTCACTTATGTCATCACTGATCACACCTGCAAGTCCAGACAGACGCCACCCTTTGTTCTTTGCGACTGCGTCGAAGGCCGACATGAGCCAGCGCACGTGAATTGTTTTCGCGGAAGTACTTTACTCAGCGCTAATAACCGGTGCTATTTGGTGTGTGATTGGATTAATGTAAGGTTGGATTAAGGTGAGGATTCTAAACCTGACTGAGGACATCTTTAGATAGAAATCCACTGATGCTTGAGAGGAGGGGGTGTCTCATTTATATTGAGTCGCATTTTTGGCTAGGGTCCAGTGGTCGCATTCTTTTGGAGACGCATTAATTTCACGATTTACAGTATTTAGTCTCATGTACAGTCAAACCTTGATGTGTCAAACCTTGACTTACGGTTGTCCTGAAGTAAAAGCTTGGTCCTGTTGTTTGTCGCATATGTTTCGATTTATTCATTCTTCATGTCAGTCAGTAGATGTATGCCAAGTTATTTTTCGGTTGTGTCGAACCTCAGATAACTTGGAAACAAACATTGCCACAATATAGTGTTATTGATATTTTGCCAAGTGTGAACTTCAGGCACCAGGAACATATTTTAACTGAACAATACAATTTGATTTCAGTATCTCGAAAACAAATATTAACGAGGAAATCCTAATTCGAAACAATAATGCTGCACATGATATTGTGGTGGATATGCAATGCATCCTGTTTGTGAGCGCTATGGTTTCTACATTCAAAAGGGTTACTATGGAAGGTATAGTCGTGTTTTGTGGTAGGTTTTTCTGGCAGACATCAAAATCAAGGTGGGAAAGAAATGAAGCTGAATTGTTCATCATTCAATTTTGACTGGACATATTTTTTTGTATGATTGCGAAATGATACTAAAAAATAATTGACTGTCCAGTCAAAATCGAATGATGGGTCCTTGAGCCAATGACATGTCGCCATTTGAAAACAATTGCTTGGTATCATTTCGCAATCCTACTTCTATGATCGTGTGACCTTTGAGTTTGTTTTTCATTCATTAGTAGCTGAACTAATCGACTAATTTTGGGGTAAATTTGCGACCTCATACATTGAATGTTAGGCCAAACATCTTGTAACCCAACTTAGAAACAATGACAGGCCTTATTGGGTTGTGTAACTACAGTACTATGTAGTCATCATCGCAACGTGGCATGCAAATAGTTACCTTTATACCTGTTCACTAGCTTCTGTGCATAAGTATGTTGACATTGGCAATATGTTTTATTACCTACGAGGGCAAACATATCGGGGTTCATAAAAATCAAATGTGCCCTTTAGGGCTGGGACGGGTAACTCGGGTACCCGGGTCGAGTGGGTCCTCAGTAGGACCTGGGTACCCACAATACTACCCGGACCCGTGGTTAGTCATGTGATATATTGTTTAATGACAAAAACTCACTATAGCTCAGTGGTTACACTACAAGTCGCGAATGTTCGCATTTCTGGTATATTGTTTGAGTAAAGAAAAAGCTTCAGTCAACATCAGTGAACACATGATTTGATTGTTTGACACATGTATCTAAATAGTATTAGCCAGGGCTGCAGTAAAACAATTACCAATCAGACATTTTGTTCTCTACTCTTGAGACTTGGAGTGGGTATCCAGTTACGGTCAGATAATAGGGGGTTGGGTACCCAGGTAGTAAATTTGGACATGTCCCAGCCCTACTGCCCTTGTATTGTTTCTGTCATCTGGACGGCATATGGTTGACGTCATTCAAATCTTATTTTGACGTAAGGTCCGAATGATGTAACACTAGAAACGAGGTCATAGCCTAAGATTGTTGACGTCATTTGACAAATAGCGGTTCCACTGCTGTTGCGACTTGCTGTCCTTATAGGTAAACACTAAAATTCATCCCTGTATGTAGACATCTTCTTCGGTAATAAAAAGGACATTATATTCGTGTTCATGTCGTACTATGGTTACAACACTCGTGCCTAATTACGGTATTTCCCTTCCTCTCGCTCAGGAAAATACCGGAATTAAGAAAACTTGTGTCATAAACATAGTAAGACACGAACATTCATATAATATCCTTTACTTTCATGATGGCTAACCAACCTGAGGGTAATTCTACCAATGACTATACAACTATACTCACCACACCACAGCCGAGATGTATCCTGGCCGGAGTAGATCTCAGCATCCATCACCCTATATATGTAGTGATCACCCTATACGTTCAGCAGGCTGTTATTGTCTCAGTTAAAAGTGGTGTTAAAGCTTGTGATATTCTACCAGTCAGTGTCATGGGAGTGGTGACATCTCTCATGCAGTTTATCGCTTATGAGGAAGGGTTTCAGTAAATCATTGGATAATCTTCCAATCAGGGAAGTGCCCTATCAAGCTGCATGGTCAGATAGCATTTGTCACAAGACAGATAAAGACAGATTTTTCAGCTTCTAGTCTTAAACTGCAGTCACAGCTATATCACGTCAGTCTGTAAATAACCAAACCTGGCCCAGACACCATAAACTTGGGCCAGACAAACCAGTAACTTATCTGAAGAGCAACATCTAATTGCATTGTGGTAGGGGGACACCTAAACCATCTCTGATGACCAGCAATTGTTTATTCTTACCCTGGTCCCCATGGTAGGCGAGCAACACTCTGTGTGTAGGGGACCGATTCTAACCCTGGTCCACATGGTAGGCGAGCAACAGTCTGTGTGTAGGGGACCGATTCTAACCCTGGTCCCCATGGTAGGCGAGCAACAGTGTGTGTAGGGGACCGATTCTAACCCTGGTCCCAATGGTAGGCGAGCAACAGTCTGTGTGTAGGGGACCGATTCTAACCCTGTTCCCCATGGTAGGCGAGCAACAGTCTGTGTGTAGGGGACCGATTCTAACCCTGGCCCCCATGGTAGGCAAGCTACAGTCTGTGTGTAGGGGACCTACTCTAACCCTGGTCCCCATGGTAGGCGAGCAACAGTGTGTGTAGGGGACCTATTCTAACCCTGGTCCCCATGGTAGGCGAGCTACAGTCTGTGTGTTGGGGACGGATTCTAACCCTGGTCCCCATGGTAGGCGAGCAACAGTCTCTGTGTAGGGGACCGATTCTAACCCTGGTCCCCATGGTAGGCGAGCTACAGTTTGTGTGTTGGAGGCCGATTCTAACCCTGGTCCCCATGGTAGGGGAGCTACAGTATCTGTGTTGGAGGCCGATTCCAACCCTGGTCCCCATGGTAGGCGAGCTACAGTATCTGTGTTGGAGGCCGATTCCAACCCTGGTCCCCATGGTAGGCGAGCAACAGTCTGTGTGTAGGGGACCTATTCTAACCCTGGTCCTATGGTGACAAACAACAGTTTGTGTGTAGGGGACCTATTCTAACCCTGGTCCTATGGTGACAAACAACAGTCTTTGTGTTGGGGACCTATTCTAACCCTGGTCCTATGGTGACAAACAACAGTCTATATGTTGGGGACCTATTCTAACCCTGGTCCTATGGTGACAAGCAACAATCTGTGTGTTGGGGACCTATTCTAACCCTGGTCCTATGATGACAAGCAACAATCTGTGTGTTGGGGACCTATTCTAACCCTGGTCCTATGATGACAAGCAACAGTCTGTGTGTTGGGGACCTATTCTAACCCTGGTCCTATGATGACAAGCAACAATCTGTGTGTTGGGGACCTATTCTAACCCTGGTCCTATGATGACAAGCAACTGTCTGTATGTTTTGGACTAATTCTAACCCTGTTCTCCGATGTTGGACAAGCAACAGTCTTTGTGTTGGTCTGTGTGAAGGTGTGTGCTTGTTTATGTACTAGTATGGACATGTGGCGTTTTAGTGGTACAAGTTGACTGAGATAACATGCCCCACACTTTACTGACTCCAAGCCGGCCAGTCCCCATTTTGTCAATTCCCAGGCATTGAACGCGATGTCAAATGCAGAAGAAAAGAAAGAATAAATTTTAAATCCATGTCAACTCATGTCTTAAGAAGAATGCATGCTGCAGCAAAAGATTAAAAACCTACCTTGAATTTCTGAATTTCTGGTCTTTACCAAACCAGTGTGGACTAATTCTGTAGATTCTACTGCAATTTGCAACTAGACTCTGAGTTCCCTGCATGATGCATACATTGCTGGTCTCGGTTATAAATCACCAACCAATATCCAACGCACATTTGTTGAGGCAGTATGTCATCAAAGTAGGCTTGTTGTAATTTATCAGTTTAGTCAAGACCAACATTACTTCTAGTATTACAGATTTACTTGGTCTGAGAACCAAGGTGGCTAGAGGCAATATTTCTGGGGGTGTTTAAATGTAAGGCAAGCACATTTTTTGTTTGGTATTTCAGATTTTTTGGACCAAATGGGTTGAATGGAGGGAGGGAGGGAGGGAGGGAGGGAGGGAGGGAGGTGATTTGATTGGGAGGGATGACGAAGTGATCCAATGAAGCTGATGATGGCAAGTGACAATTCCAGAACAGTTGCTTCCCTTCCATTGAAAAATACATCATTTTTCATCTTTATTCGATATCAGGGAAAAATCTGGTATGCTAGAAAACTAAAGGGTCTGGCCTAAGTTTTGATTTGATGTGAATTTTTTAAACAAATCGTTTTAATAAAAATACAAACAAAACAAATAAATGTTCAATCATACACAGTATTGAAAAGATAAAAGTGTAAAATTACTTCTGAAAACAATCATGGAAGGGTCATTCATGTAAGGGACCAGTAAGTTATCAAGGGGGCTTGGGGTGTCTGAGGTTTTTTATAACTTTGAAGATCCTGTTTAGAATTGGTCTTCAGCAACCGATACTTGTCGCAAGAGGCGACTAAAGGGATCGGATGGTTAGGCTTGCTGACTTGGTTGATGCATGTCATAGTATCCCAATAGCATGGATAGATGCTCATGTCAATCACTGGATTGTCTGGTCCAGGTTCGATTTTTTACAGAGTGCCGTCATATAGCTGGAGTGAGTGAGTGAGTGAGTGAGGTTTAACGCCGCTTTTAACAGTATTCCAGATATATCACGGTGGGTCAGCTTAATGTGGGAGGAAAGCCCAAAGTGATGCAGGTCACCACTTTGGTGAAACCCACGAGCATGGGTATGGTGCTAGCAAACCTAGAAACATGATCGGGGCAAACCTAGATTTGAACCCAAGATCATAGGTTTCCCTCCCCTTGAGATTGTCATATTTTTTTTATTTGAGGATGACCCTCCCCTGATTTCCTCTGCTGCCAAACAAGAAACAAATGTGATGGTGGCTATTATTTTCTTCAGCATATATACTGAACCACAAAAGAAACATCACCATGGATAGATATATGAGAAACCTTATGTGTCCAAACAGTGTAAACATACTTTGAGAGTGAAACACAAAGCTGGTCTCTGAGAAAATGGCATCACAAGTCAGTATCTTGTGTGTCCACCATGTGCATTGATGACTGCCGTGCAATGTCGATGCATGGAATGACAGTGGCGGTTGATGAAGGCCATGGGCACTTGAGCCCAAACTCCGAAGAACGCCTGCCGCAGTTCAGCTGCAGTTGTCGGCCTTGGTCGGACGTCATTCAGCCGTCTTTGAATCTCGTCCCACAGGTGCTCAATGGGATTTAAATCGGGACTGAGGGCAGGCCACTGCATGGTTCTGATGTCATTCTGCTGGAGGAAGTCTCTTGTTGCTCTTGCAGTGTGGGCACGGGCATTAATTATCACGCTGAAACTCATGGTTGCGGCAACGTGCCAAATGAGGTATGGCGTGTGGTCTTGACTTGATCAATGTACCGAGCTGGTGTGACACCATTGCCTCTCCCAGGACAGATGTCTCCCAGGACACCATGATGCTCGGACCACCCCACAAGTCTCAAGAACACAAGCATCCGAATAACGTTCCCCACGGCATCGCCAGACTATCTCTCTGCCATCTGCTGTTGAGATACAGTAACGGCTCTCGTCTGAGAAGAGGACTCTTCTCCACTGCTGTGCATGTGCATTTCAATTAGCACGGAACTCACGTGCATCAGGTTACCATGCATGGACGTTGCCGTGATGCGTTTGGGCGATCGGTTTTATTGCCATCTGCTTTGGTTTTTTATCATTAAATTTCATTTTTCCGGACAAGGTAATGTTAAATTTTAGAAACTTTCACAAAAATAACCCAGATATTTAAATGACAACTTTTCATGCAATGTTACTTTGGGTGATGTTTCTTTTGAAGTTCAGTTTATTTTTCTAGTTGTTGGATAACAAGGTCATCAACTTGACTTGACTTTATACTGGTTTCCGGTGGCAATCGTTTTATAACATTCTAGTTGATAGCTTCCTCCAGGGACATGTCGAGTTTCTGATAAGACGTAGTGAATAAATATCAAGGTTACCTGGTTAGGGCCTAAATTCTGTATTCTTTTTTCACTTTGCAAATATAATGACTGAATTAAATAGCTATTCGTAAGGTTATGCTTTAATCATGGAAAGAAAGCAGAGACTTATCGATTCTCTTAACCAAGTGCTCCAAGCAGGCAAATTGGGAAAAACACTTATTTTGTTAAAAAATGGTATTGCTTAGTTCAAATATTCTTAAATTCAGAGGTATTTTGAGATTGCATTTAATGCAATACTATGAAATGAAAGCATTAAAACATGTTCCTAATTGTTGGTCTTGTTATAAATGAATAGAGGTTAATTCTACAAAGCCATAAATTAGTTATCAGTCACATATATTAATACCATATTTGACGTAATAAGCGCCCCGCTCTAATAAGCGCCCATGGCTATATTTGCTAATATATTGGCTAGTGAATAATTCCAATTAGCACCCTTCCCATTGATCAATGTACACAAGACTTATTTATTCGTGTATAATACGTCTGTTACATGCAATATTTATTAAATTCTGGTAAAATATATCTGTCGTGTATAACATGCAGAGACTTTTCTTTGGCATCAGGCTGTCAGTATAAACCACGAAATTTACGATCTTTCAACTCTTTCACCAAAACTATATTCTGATAGGAGCCCCCTATTTCTAAGTTTGAAAGCGCCCTGGGCGCTTATTACATCGAATACAGAACATTGCAACATGCACTGGGAAATGTTTGGTTCCAAATTAGGAATCTTTGTTGGCATTAGCTGGAGACTTGGGGCTCAATTTCGGCCTCTAGGCAGGTCTAGATAAATCCCTGAGAAAGTAAAAATACAATAACTGTATAGGATGCAATCTAACAGCTATGACTCATCATAAAATCCAGTTCATGAGGTGAGGTGAAATGAGATTTAACATTACATTAAACATGATTGCATTTTCATAGCAATGTACTGCTTGTGCTAGCTGGGAATGAGGCTGTTTTCATAGTGCCAACTCACTAACATACCGTTACGCTGTTTAACCCTCTGGATGCCGAGACACTTCTGAGTGTTGCTCGAGAATTTATTCTGCGTTGAAAAAAGTAAATGTCTCCACTTTTTATCGTACACCGATAAAAGTACTGTGCGATGATTTTTTTTATTTAGAAGCTTTGCGGAAACTTTTCGCGAACAAAATACTGCCTTATATCTGAACAACATAACTATTTATCAAATAGAGTTATATGCGTATGTATAACGACATACATTCAATGCCAAAAATAGCATGCCGTGAATGATGAAAACTGATTCAAAAGGCAACAGAGAAGTAACACACATACAAAGAAAAGGGGGCATAACTCTGTTTTGTTAAAGTAATATATTAAGTTTTAGTTGTAAAATAAAATGAAACTGCTATTCACGGACATTGGTTATACTATTGACTATTACACATCCCAAGAAATACGTACATGATGCAGTTACATTTACGTAATATCGTATTCGACACTATAAACCTATCAATTCTCATGTAAACAATGTTCAAACAAACAGGAGATTATCGAAGGTTCGTTCATACATGTTGTGG